TGCCGATATTTAGAAATCAGGGCAGCCGATGGCCGATATATGATGCCGATTTTTTTGGCCGATATGTTTGGCCAATTTTCTTTTCTTTTTCCCCCCTTCATCTCATAAAAGATAGTTTGAGTGTTTATTGCAATTAAATGTTTATTGCAAGGTACAAGATAGTAATAGTAGTAGCCTAATTCATAGTAATAATACATGGCTCAAAACTTAAGCACCTTCTCAAAATTGTTCTGAAGCATGCTTTTTGTTTATGTTTGCTGACAAACACCAGCGTTTCCCACAGACTTGCAAATGCAAATTGATTCTCTGCCATCAGGAGGCGCTGTTGAAGCGGGAAATATAGCTGTTTCCCCGGTAACGGCTGTAATCAAATAAGCGCTACTTTATCAGGCATTACAGGAAAGACGAAATGAAAATAACAAAAGCTTTTCTGAAGACGGTCGGTTCTTTTCAAAGATACGTTCATATAAAAACACCCGCGCTGCATTTTAATTTTGAAACGTGCAGTGCTCAGTTTATTCAACGAAGTATAAGCCTTTTGGAAAATCTATTTGTGGTTTTGATATTGTGACGAACCACCACAAATAAATCAGTGTATGGGAAACACTGGATACTGCTATAAGTCAAATGGCCATAGTGATAACAAAAATAAAAGATTTCACACATATTACACAGCCTGCACTGGCCGCGAGCGATGGCATCGGACCCACACACACATTTAATGAGGAAAGTTAACATGCATGTTTTAGCCAGCCCCGAAGTTTCGTCTGAATTGTTTCTACTTTCACATGCAAATGACTTGTTACACTTATGAATATGATAAGGACGGTCGGCATCAATTCTAGTAGGGTAAAACGTAATTATGCTTTTGAAAACGGTCTGTTTTGCCCGGCCATCGTTAGCTGAAGCTGTGTGTGAACAAGGCACGGCTGCAGAGTGTGAGCTGCTCCGTCTCACATGCAGCCTCAGAGGGAGAGAGGTTCTCCGGTACAGCGTTCCACAACAACGCTTAGCTGCTGCAGATGCGCCTTCCTATAAATCGGCCTAATTTTCAGCACAATCGGCCGATGCCGATTAATTAAAAAATGCCAAAAATCGGCCGATTAATCGGCCGGCCGATCAATCGGTCGACCTCTAATGTAAACAAACACAGAATATAACAATAAAAATGACCGATCAAACCCTGAAATGCACTTTTACAATATTTATAAATATCATATTTATTTAATATTAAATAATGTATAGTATTATTTATATTCTATAGTATTAGTTATTTTTATATTTTCAGTTTTAATTTTAATTTTAGTTCAAATTTAGAGTTATTATTAACTAGACCTAAGAGCAAACAAAATTTGTTAACTGAAACAAAATAAATTTTAACTGAAGTAAAATAAAATATAAAAAAAACATTAAACTTATGTTATTTCAGCTAGTTGCCAAGGCAACATTTTTCATTTTCAATTAGTTTAACTTGATGTACTAAAATGACTAAAACTAAAATAAATAATAATAAAAAAAAATGAATAAAAACTATTTAGACATACAGACTTTAAAAAACCACTAATAAAAATGAACAACAATATTACTAAAACTGTAAATAAAATTAAAATGAAAACATAAAATATATAGAAAATTTAAAAATAAAAACAAATTCAAAATATTAATAAAAACTATAATAGTATCTCAACGATGCTAAAATAAAACTGGTAATTTTGTTGTGCTCTTGTTAATTGTATTCGTTTTTGTTTTAATAACATAAAATAAATTAAATATTAAATTAATTTGCTTTAATTTATTTTATTTCAGTTTAATAAGTTTAAGCTTTAGTATTCTAAAAAAATACGTTTTAGTATTCTATTTCAGCTTTATTTCAATTAACAAAAAATATTTTTCATAGTTTTAGGTTTAGTTAACAATAACAAAGGTGCTGATGAACAGATAATTTACCACTCATGAACCAGCATGTAGTATTTTTATTTTATTTTTTAATAAATTATAAATTTTAGTCTTCATGATAAAGGAATTATTTCACAGTTTTTCTATTTTATTTCATTTAATATTATAATTATTATAAATTCACGTAATTTGTTACAAAAAAATTTCTGTACATTTGAAGCAGTCACCTACTGGATCAGGCTCAGTATCAATTAGAAAGAAAAACTAAATAAAAACAGCATGATGTAGTGAGTTTTCTTGCGATCACTGAGCACGTGTGAATGTGATGGTGGCGTCGTCCACATCTAAGGGAAATGATGTCATCTGTGTAGAGGAAGTGAAGTTAAGCAAATGGGATTTTAATGGGAAAATGGGCCAAACTAGAGCCATTGGGTTCCTGTTATTGAGGCCCGTCTGAAAACCAGATGCTCGTGCAAAACATAAATAATCAAAGAAAGTCTCTGCAAATCAGGTGAACTGACTGAATGCCATATGAATAACTGTACTGACACACTCATTAATTCTACAGAGCTCACTGACTGAATAAAAACACTGTAATGCATCATCACAGGTCACTAGTTATAGACGTTATATATCAGAAGATGAGATCGGATCCTGCTAGGAAGTCGCTTGTATGAGTTTGTAAGTCATAATTACGGCGCTGAAGAGATTTTGGTTGGAATAAACAAGAGCGGATTGTGATGCTGTGAGGGAAGCAGACTCTCATGACTCTCACTGATGTATGAGAAACAAAGCCACAATTAGTGGACATAAAGTCACAAAGCTGCAATTTACAAACAAAACATTTACAAGAATGAACATACGACGTACTGTACGTAATGCATCGCAAAGAGAGGAGAGTGGAGCAGGACTGCGACAAGTCTTGAGCTCATGTTAAATGTTTTTATTGTTATCATACAAATAGCTTTTAATTTCAATTTAACAATAAGGCAGATAAGTTTTACACCAAATTGATGAATTTAAATGACTGAATATAGTTCATATTACTCTCAGGATTATAATATAATAACCCGGCCCTGCATAATATTTGCTGAATATGTAAGTCGCTCTGGATAAAAGCATCTGCTAAATGAATAAATGTAACTGTAAATGAACTCAATACTCGTTTCTTACTAATTCAATGCTGCTGATTGTAAAAATTGTGTTTTTCTCTGTCACGTCACACTTTCTCATTAAATGTGTGCATTTCATAACATTTTTGCACATTTTATTTGATGCCTAATCCTGATTTCCACTTTATAAAGTTTTAAATATGGATATTTTTCTTACACAAACGCATCAATTCGTTTCAGGAGGCCTTTATTCACCTCACAGAGCCATATGGGACACTCTTTATTATGGATGGATGTGCTTTATTGGGCTTCTTTTGGACTATTGAAAAATAACACCCATTCACTAACATTATAAAGCTTGGAAGAGCCAACACATTTTTTAATATAACTCCGATTGGATTCTTGGAAAGAAGAAAGTCAAATACACCTAGGATGGCTTGCGGGTGAGTACATAATGGGCTAATTTTCATTTTTGGGTGAACTATCCCTTTAAAGTGTCTCATACATCTCACATATCATCAGGACTTAGAGTCTCATGCCATAACCATTGCTCTCTCATCTACAGCGAGAGTAAATCTATCAGAGCAGCACGAGTCAGGTTCAAGCTTGTTAAAGAAATCAGAAATCAGCTTTCAGTCATTATCAGGGTTATTATCATCCACTAAAACTAAAAGTCTGAAGGTCTAAGCCGAGTTTGGAGGTAGTCGCTTCAAAACTCTAGGAGGAGATACTGACTAAACTTAGTCTCAGAAGAAGAAGAAGAAGATGAAGCAGCTTGAATAGTAGCTCAGGGAGTAAATCAGGCCTACAGTGAGCAGCAGGTGAAGGGCTGCACCTGTGAGGACTGTAAATCTGTCAGACTCACCTCGGGACGAGCGGAAGTGTTTGCTGGGAGCCGTGAAGCCGCGGGTGCCATGAACGTTCACCGCCGCCACGCGGAACTGATACCACCTGCTCGGCCGGACGTCGCTCAGCAGCACGCGCTCTTCAGCAACCTGAGGGGCACAGGGGTCAAAGGTCACGGCCAGAGGTCACGGGGTCACATACATGCGACCCTGAATATGAGCTTGGAATCTGATCTATTTCAAAACATGAAAGACTGGAGAGACATCTGAGCATCTGTGTATTTGCTTAAACACTGCAAAAAATGACGTTCTAACTTCTTGTTTTCCAGTACAAATATCTAAACATTCTTAAATCAAGATACATTTACTGAAGAAAAATGACTTTTCATTTTCATTTTCGTATCAAAATGTAGTGAGTTTTTGCTTAAAACAAGAACAAATATCTGCCAATGTCGCTTAATTTTGATAAATTTTTCAGAAAACAAAACTTATTATCTTAAGTAAATGTCTCTCTAATAATTTAAAATAGAACATCATTTTTTTGCAGTATAGTTGGCATGAAACAAAAGCTTTCCAATTTTACTATTGAATTGTGATGAATTTTCGAGGGGAAAAATGGCTATTGAACAAGAAAAAACATAAAAAAAAGACTTGATTTTATTTGTCGGTTTTTAATTGAGTGGAAAATATAAAAGTAAAAACTAATTCAAAATATTAATAAAAATTATAATAGTATATTGACATATAATGATACTAAACATAACTAATAAATTAATTTAAAAAAATGTGCACATAAATTTCATTTAATCTGATCTATTGTTTTGTGTCCATCAAGTTCAGAATACATCTGATAATATTTCTGAATGTTGAAGGATTAGTTCACTTCCAGAATAAAAATCTCCTGGTAATTTACTCGCCCCCATGTCATCCAAGATGTTCATGTCTTTCTTTCTTCAGTCACAACGAAATTAAGGTTTTTGAGGAAAACATTCCAGGATTTTTCTCCATATAGTGGACTTCCAATTCTAATTCCAATGTGATTATGTCATGCGTGAAGTCGAGCATTTGTGGTTAAATAGTATATACATTTTTATTTTTTTTTAAGAAAATGAGCAATGGTTTCTCTAGATAAGAGCCTTATTCCTTGGCTGGGAACGTGTAGAGCTCTTTGAAGCTGCAATGAATCTGCAGTTTGGACCTTCAACCCGTTGAGCACCACTGAAGTCCATTATATGGAGAAAAATCCTGGAATGTTTTCCTGAAAAACCTTCATTTCATTGCGACTGAAGAAAGAAAGACATGAACACGACATGAGGGAGAATAAATTATCAGGAGATTTATACTCTGGAAGTGAACTACTCCTTTAATTGTCTTTTAAGTGCCAGCTGGGTCGCTAAATTAAATAGTGTCATGTTTTTAAGATGCATATAGTTGCACGAATGGGTGAAAGGCCTGACCTGAGCGATGTCCTGCCACGGCGTAGCGTCGTCTTCGCTGGGATGGATGCCGAAGTTCCAGCGTCGCTGCAGCACGTAAAGCACCGGCTCCACGGAGACGTTAAAGCGGGACGACCAGCGAACCTCCAGCAGTCCTGACGGCTGCTCCACAAACAGCAGCTCCTTCCGCGGCTTCAGAGGAGATCCTGAGAGACGGACGGACAGACAGAGACGCTTTAATCAAAACACCAGACACTAGTGCTGAAATCTGCACATATTAATGGAAATTGCTTATTTCTCTGGATTTAAACATTCTTCGAAACATTTGGGATAGTGTAAGTACACAAGTCAGCAAAATATATAACACTGTTCTAGTGGTTTTTGGATATTTTAATAAAAAAATCTTTAAATGTGTTTCTTGTTCTTTATAAAAGCACTATATAAATAAAGGTGACTTTAGAAATTTGCACACTTTCCATAATAATAATAATAATATTTTTTTTCTAGATTTTGGGTGCAATTTGGAGGGCGATTTGTTTTTATGGAAAAATCTAATATAGGATTATTACCGTTAACTAAAACTAAAATCATAAAATAACATTTAGTTACTTGAAATAAAATATATGTTAACTGAAATTAAATAAAATATTAAAATATATATATTTTATCTCAACTAGTTGCCAAGTCAAAGTTTCTCTTTTTTTTATTTAGTTTGATTTGATGTACTAAAATAATGAATAAACTAAAACTGAAATAAAATTAATAAAAAACCTATATAGATATATATATAAAAAAATGAAACTAATAAAAGTGAAATATAAAAACAAACAAAAAATACTAAAACTTTTACTGAAATTAAAATGGAAAATAAAACTACTAATAAAATTTTTTTTTTTAAAAAGTCAAAATACACAACAAAATTACTACAATTTTAACTAAAATAAAATGGAAAATAAAACTAATAATAAAAAGTGAAAACAGAAAATACTAAATCTTTCAAATTAAAATGGGAAATAAAACTAATAATAAAATAAAAAAGTGAAAATACACAAGAAAATTACTAAAGCTTTAAAACTAAAATGGAAAATAAAACTAATAATAACATTTTAAAAAGTGAGAACACAACACAATTGGTAAAACTTTAACTAAAATTAAAACGAAAATCAAAAATATACATAAAATAATAAATAAAACAATATATAAATAATAATATAAGATAAAAACTAATTCAAAATATGAATAAAAACTATAAGTATATGAATAATAGTAAAATAACTTTGATCTAATAAATACAATATTCAATTAAAAAAACAATTAAATAATACAAATATTAAAAAAAAAATGAGACAATAATATAATTTTTCATTTGTAAGGTCTTCTGTTTGCTGGATTAGATGAAAACAGACATTATCACATGATTACTCAAAACATAAAATTGTTTCAATAGATGTGCAATAGTTAAAAATAACTCCGTCATGATAAATAGCGATATAAAGTGATGTTCATGTGATGCTCTCACAGCAAACCTCCATCTGCTCCATATGGCAGTGACTTCCATTTAACCCTCAAAGACATCTGAAATTCTTCCATATGCAATAAATTAAAGATTTATTAAGTACAAAGCTTCAGGGGGGAAAGAGAAGGGAGAAAATGTTCTGCTCCGTGTCTTTCCTCGATTCGTTACAGCTGTGATGGAGCGCTGCTGATTGAGGAGCGACGTGAAAGACATGAAGCTCAAAGACGTCCAATGTCTCCAGAAATTAGTCGAGAAGCAGGAGGCATTTTCATCAGAGAACAGCACTGAAGATGTGGGGCTTATATTTATAAGTTTTTAGTTTCAGTGACTCATTCATAAAGACAGTCACTTGCTTTGTTTCTGAACGAATCGGCCGTTTAAACGAATCAAGTGAGACAATGATTCAGTAACTCGTTCATAAAGAAAGTCACTTGCTTAGTTTCTGAACGAATCAGCCATTTAAACGAATCAAGTGAGCTGATGATTCAATGACTCGTTCATAAAGACAGTGGGTGCGTCCGAAATCGCATACTGCTTAGTAGGTACTACATTTGAATTTGAACGTACTACTCGACCGTTAAAAAAGTACGTTCTATATAGTATGAATGAGAGTAGTATGAATGGAATTCGGACGTACTACATCCGCCATGTTGATGTTGTCACGTGACATGCGTCTTCACAACAGCGCCAAAATTTAAAGAGCTCTCACTACTGCGCTAACATCAGCAGTGCAGCTAGTCACTTTGTTAGTTTCTGAATGAATCAGTCGTTTTAACGACTCGAGTGAGTCAATGATTCAGTGACTTGTTCATAAAGACAGTAAACTGCTTCGTTTCAGAACAAATCAGCCATTTGAACGAATCGAATGAGCCAATGATTCAGTGACTCGTTCAGAAAGACAGTCACTTGCTTTGCTTCTGAACGAATCGGCCATTTAAACGAATCAAGGGAGACAATGATTCAGTGACTCGTTCATAAAGAAAGTCACTTGCTTCGTTTCTGAACGAATCGGCCATTTAAACGAATCAAGTGAGCTGATGATTCAGTGACTCGTTCATAAAGACAGTCACTTTGTTAGTTTCTGAATGAATCAGTCGTTTTAACGACTCGAGTAAGTCAATTATTTATTGACTTGTTCATAAAGACAGTAAACTGCTGCTTTTTTTCAGAACAAATCAGCCATTTGAACGAATCGAATGAGCCAATAATTCAGTGACTCGTTCAGAAAGACAGTCACTTGCTTTGTTTCTGAATGAATCAGTCGTTTTAACGACTTGAGTGAGCTGATGATTCAGTGACTCGTTCATAAAGACAGTAAACTGCTTCTTTTCAGAACAAATCAGCTATTTGAACGAATTGGTTAAATGAATGATTCAATGACTCATTAAGGCAGTGATTTGCTGAATCAAACTTCTTTCTAAAGCTACTTTTTGTCATGTCTATTCAATGCTTTTCTCATTTAATACAATGTCTTTAAATTATCTTTTGGGGGTAAATTTCTCAACCTGAATTGATGTGTGATTACTGTGCGATCACATTGGCACATGTAATTAATTAAACCTTTCAATCACCTGACAGCCCTACTTGACAGTAATAAAATGAAAAGCACCAGTGATTCTCAACATCTGCATGAGAATCAGCATATGGAGAAATGCAGTGATGACGAAGATTTCCACTGTGGATGAAGAAGTTCAAGGACTGAACGCCTGTTCAGGAGATCCGTTCGCATTAAACGATCAGCGACGGCCGGATTTGACGACAGCGGTGCTGCTGAAGGCCAGTTCTCCAGGAGCAGATCGGAGGAGCAGCAGAACAGCTGTGTTCGATTGCGCTGCGGTTTCACAGCTCCAGCATGCGTGTGACGTCCGCTCCAATCCCGGCGCTCCAGTAAAATCCCACAGCGTTCCTGAACCAGCGCTGGAATTCACACTCTTGCTCCGAGAGCAGGATCTGGAGAAGTTCATCCAGAAACCACACAAACCTCCACGAAGCTCCGGCGTCCGCAGGTGCACGTCATCTCCTCCAAAACACACCTGCTTTACTGCGGTGAAGTACTCCTGGAGCTCAGCACGCGCTCGCAGCCGCAAGGTCATGGGTTCGATTCCCAGGGAATGCATGAACTTATGAAATATATAACTTTAATGCAATGTAAATGCAAAGTCGCTTTGGATAAATGCATCTGTCAAATGCATAAATGTAAATGTTGCGCTCATGCAACGTGAAGATCGAGCTATTTAAGTGAGTTTGTGGAGCTGTAACACTAAAAATTTTTTTAAATAAATTAAACTTAATTAGTAATAAAAAAAAAGATTAAAATGACAAAAACACATTAAAAAATTAAACTAAAAAATTAAATTTATTATATTATATTTTCAGTTTTAATTTCAATTTTTGGTAATTTTTGGTAATTTTTTAATGTGTTTTTGTCCTTTTTTAATATTAAAAATTGTAGTGCTTCATCTAATATTTCAGCTTAGGTGTTACACTAAATTAAATCATCAAATCATCTACTATTTATTTTTTATTTCAGTTTACTTGTAATACTAATTTAAATTGTTAATTAAATTAAGATTTATATATATATTTTTAAATTTCAGCCTAGTTGTAACACTAAATTAAATCGTCACATGATTTACATAATTTGCCATTTAGTCCTCCAAATCAAAACAGCAAGGATGATTTTACTACATTTATGCTTTTACATGTACATCATATTTATGTATTGGCAGACACTTTTATGTAAAGTGACGTTTTAGTATTTTAATATTATTTATAAAGTATTATAGTTTTGATTAATATTTTGAAATAGCTATTTATTATTATTATTATATATATATTTTTTTTTACTATTACCAATTAGGTTTAATTTATTTATATTTCAGTTTTAGTTTGAGCTTTTATTTATGTAGCAAAGAAGGACGATTTTTTTCTTTATTCATGTATTTACATTACATTTATACAGTGTGGATTAGAGTCAGTATTATTTATATACTATTATAGTTTTTAATAAATATTTTGAATTAGCTTTTATTTTGATACTTTCGGTTGTCGTTTTAATTTTCCTTTTTTTCAGCAATGTCGTATGCATTTTTGTAATTTTTATTAATTAAAAAAAAATATATTATTATTTAGGTTTAATTTATTATTTCAGTTTAAGTTCAATTTATTTCTAGTAAGTTATTTTTGTGCTTCAACTTAGTTGTTTAGTTGTTTTTTATCTAATATGTATTATATTTCAGCTTTATTATCATGCATTCCCTGGGAATTGTATCTACAATGTAGCACGAAAGCACAAACTGCCCAGAGAACATGAAAACACGTATCTGAGAAGAGAAAAACGTCCTGCCGACGGCTTTGAACATCACAGAAGAGCGCGTGGTTCACAAACGCCCCACTCTCGGGAAGCTCACTAAATCAAAAGAAACAAGGCGTTCAGGAATATCTTCAGAAACTCTCCTGAAACGCCGTTCTGGCTTCACACTTTCAAATGCATCATTAGAGAGACAAAACCATGTGTGCAAATCACAAAACGCGGTCAGAGCAAAAACATGCACTGCATATGTCGGTAGTTTTGACATTACGGTAACACTTTACTTAAAGCCTTCATATATAATGCATTTATGAAAGTATTTTTGATGCATCAACGATGCACCCTACAATGCATTGTATGATCTCATAATTAATTATAAACAATTTAGTTATAATATATTAAAACTCTTCCATTTATTCATTGTTACGTCCAAACATAAATCTCAAGTCAATCACGTTACCAAAAACGTGACCAGAAAATGTATGCAAAAATCGGGGTTATTATATTATTAACTAAATCTAAAACCATAAAAAAACATATTTGCTAATTTGAAATAAACATTAACTGAAATAAAATTACATTTAAAAACTGTTTTTTTTTTCAGCTAGTTGCCAAGGCAACATTTCTCATTTTCATTTAGTTTAACTTGATGCACTAAATAACTAAAACTGAAATAAAAATGAATAAAAACTGCAGACATGTTTAACATGAAAAAATATGAACTAGAAAAAATTACAAAAATTACTAAAAAATACAAAAATTACAATGAATACTAAACAGAAAAAAAACGAATTCAAAATATTAAATACATAATAATTTCTCAATGATACTAAAATAGCACTGGCCTTTGAGCTTCCCGTAAATGTATTGCAAAAATATGAAAAATAATAAAATATCTTCATTCAACTTTAAAATCCTTGCTCTATTGTTTTATCTTTATATATAGAATACAGGCCTAATATATAATGCATTATAAAAGTATTTTATTAACGATGCACCCCATGATGCATTGCAGGATCTCATAATTAATTATAATCACAGTTATAATACATTATGATTCTTATCTATTGATTATCACATCTTTAGACGGTAAATGCATTAAAACACACGACTGATTTAAGATGCAACAAGGAACCTGCAAATATTATAATGCATCTGTGAAGAGATATAATGCATTACAACATGCATGATGAATACTTCATAATGCATTCTGAATAAAGGCTTTAAGCAGCGTGTTACTGATATTACTCGTTGAACCGGGCTTCGTCTTGGGGTCGAGGAGAAAGACGAGGTTACAGGAACATCTGAGAGCCATCGACAGAGCAGCGAAGCTCACTTTGACCTGATAATGGTTTCCAGCATCGCTGATCTTCTAACAGAGAGAAACAATTACACTCCTGACACCAGCAGCAGCAGCAGCTCTCTCTGATCGCCTTTGCATTTCAATAAAAGGCTTTACGGCTTTCTGCAAAAACCAGGGGGAAGCCGTAAATCTGACATCAATACAGACAAACCGTGAAGCAACAACTTTCAGACGCCACACTTCTGTGTTACAGTTTTCATCTATATTTGGAATTTTATTTTATTTTTTAGAATTTCTGTTTTCACTTTAATTTTAGTTACATTTTTAGAACTTGTGTTGTGTGTTTTTGTCATTTATATTTTATTTTTTTATATTTATAGGTTTTTAATGTAATTAAACTCATAAATTATTTAATAAATTAGTTTTAGTTATTTTAGTACTTACAGTAAAAAAATGCATAGGTTTTGTGTATATTTTGTTTTATTTATTTCCAGCTAGTAATTTTAGTGCTTCAACTTTCATCTAATATTTATACTGATTTTATGTTTATATGTTTTTAATGTAACTAAACTAATAAATTATATAATAAATTATTTATTAGTTTTAGTTATTTTAGTATTTACAGTAAAAAAAATGCATAGGTTTTGTGAATATTTTGAATTAAAAAAAAATATAGTGTATATTTTGTTTTATTTATTTCCAGCTAGTAATTTTAGTGCTTCAACTTTCATCTAATATTTATACTGATTTTATGTTTATATGTTTTTAATGTAACTAAACTAATAAATTATATAATAAATTATTTATTAGTTTTAGTTATTTTAGTATTTACAGTAAAAAAAAATGCATAGGTTTTGTGAATATTTTGAATTAAAAATATATATTTTTTTTAATTTTAGTTAAAGCTTTAGTACTTTTGTTGTGGTTTTTTGTCATTTATATTTATAGTTTTATATATTTATACTTCTTAATTTTTTCTATATCATTTTTATATATTAGTTTTAATTGATTTAGTAGTTCAAGTAAAAAAAACTTTTTTATGTTATTTTTATTAATGTTTTGACTTACATTACATTTATGCATTTGGCAGATGCTTTTATCCAAAGTGACTCTTTAGTATTTTAGTATTATTTATATACTATTTTAGTTTTTATTAATATTGAATTAGCTGTTATTTTATATTTTTAGTTTTCATTTCATTTTTATAGTTTTTTTTTAAATATTACTAATTTGTTTTTAGTTTTAGTAATTTAGTATGCATTTACATTACATTTAAACAATTTATTATTTCGAATTACCTTTTATTTGTATATTTTAATTTTCAATTTAATTTTAGTTTACTTTTTTAACATTTTTGTGTTTTTTCTCATTTTTATTATTATTTTTTTATATTATTATTTAGGTTTAATTTAATTTTGTTTTATTTATTTCCAGCTATAAATTTTAGTGCTTCAACTTTCATCTAATATTTATTCTGATTTCAATGAACAAGTGTCTTTAACAGCTTTAGTGCAAAAGTTTACATAAACTTAAATGAAAAAAATAAGTTTTGTAACTTTAAGTACTTGCATCTTAAAAAAATTCGTAACCTAAGCATGACTTTTCTCTCTTTCTGTGATGACGTGCAGATCTGTATGACTTTTCATTTGTGTCCACACAATGAAAGCCAATGGGGTCCAAAACGACAACATTACACTTTCATTGCGTGGACGCAAAAACCCAGAGATCTTCCCACGGAATAAAGGAAGTCACACAGGTTTGAACGACATGAGGGGAGTAAATGATTTATTGTTTTTGCTGATGAAGTGTTTGTACCTTTATAGGGGTTCTTGGGGATCTGGCAGGTGTGTCCGCATCCGTTCGGACAGCATCTCTTCAGCGCCGTGCACTCGGCGTCTGTTTCGCAGCTCTCCACGCAAGCCGCTGCGAATCCGCTCGCGCGCTCCGCCGCAGGACAGTCCCCCGGCTTCAGCGTCTGAACGGAGCGCAGGAACTCGCAGCTCGTCAAACACTCGTAATGCTTCTTCGGGAACTGAGTCTGAAAGCAGAAGTCACTGATCTCAGGCCAGCTCTCACAGGTTTGCACAGCGGCGCGAGAGTTTCCGTACCTCACACAAGTCCTGACACTGGTTCTCCTTCAGGTCCCATGATGCCCTGCAAGGCTCCAGACACTGAATGCGAAAAACAAAGAAGAAACGCTCAATTAGGAAAAACAGAGATATAAAAAGCTTTCCAAACTTCTAATAATTAAATAATAAAAAATTAAAAAATTAAATGAAAACAAATAAAAATAAAACACCTTATTAATAACTAAATAAAATAAAAATAAATCAATAATCAAACACTTACTATTAAATAATTGAACAAATGTAAAATTAATCAAATAATTTTAAAATAAAAATGAATCCAAATAAAACACACTTACTAATGATTAATTAAATCATAAACATTTAAAATGAGATAAATCATTATAAAAAAGCAATCAAAATAAAACACTGACTATTAATTACTTAAATCATAAAAATATAAAATTTAAAAAATATTTTTAAAATAAAAGAAAAAAATTAAACACTTACTAATGATTAATTAAATCATAAAAATATAAAATACAATAAAACAACAAAAAACACAGTATTTATTTCTGTCTTAACGCTCTTACTCACGAGTTACAAAGTCAGGAAACGTCATAACCAAATTAAGCAAATGTTTCTTCATTTCATATTGGCAGAAAAATGAATATAATGTGAATATTCGTCCCAACTCCACTGGGCCGGCATTTGGTCTCAAGTCTCAAGTCTACTTTATTTATAAAGCCCTTTCCACTACAAAGTAAACCAAAGGACTGTACAGCTAGGGATGCAGCGATTAACCGGTTTCGCGATTAACCGCGCTTTAAAACATCACGGTTAATTAATCGTAAAGGTTCCGCTAAACCGAGTGTTTCTGTTACACGGAACGGAACTGTAGCAGCTTGCGCAAAACGAAAAAAGTTACACTAGCGGTGCACCAGCTTAAAATGACGTGTTTATCAGAGACACAGAGGCTAATACATGCATTAGATGAACTGTGACAGAGAGACCAAACAGCGAAGCTTTATTTCCACCAGAGAAATGCTCGTCGATAGTGTGGGACCATTTTGGGTACACCAAGAATGACCAGGGTGTCATTTAAATATTGCTGTAAAAAACTGCTGCTAAAGAGCGAATACATAAGGGATAATGCACGGCTTGCTGTACATTGAACGATTTAAAAAAAAAGTTTATTTCCATCATTAGTAACAGTTTCCCCTGTGGGACAAATAAAGTTAATATTA